CAAAATATCTATATCCATTCAGCGGTGAAGCTTTGGAAACATAACAAATCTTTCGATGCAATGAGAATTACAAATACTTTGAACAAACTTTTGACTGTGGCATTTGACTGCTTTTAAACTGACTTGGTCCAATTAGCTGCTCTTTTCACAGCTCTGATCAACAGATTGGTCACAGTAATCAAAATAAACAATCTGCATTGTTTTGCGAGCAGTGAGCTTGGAAATTTTTTTTAATAATTCTCTTTCTTTGATTCATAAACTGTTCATAAATACACACAAACAAAATTAATGTAGTAATGAAAGAGCAAAAATCTTAGTGGGACTTAACTATCCCAGATATGGAAATTATCAATTCAAACAAATATACTGAAACAGCAAAAAAATGTTAGCCACTAAACTGGCCCAGATATGGAAATTATCAATTCAACCAAATGCACTGAAACAGGAAAAAATCTTTAGTTACTAAACTAGCCCAAATATGGAAATTATCAATTAACTCCTACGCAACGAGGATAACATTACTTGACCATTACTGTAAACATTTAAATAAAAAAAATTGTGCTCATTTGGAGCTAGTATAGAGTGCTTGTACCACACTCCCCTGCCCTCAAAAAGAACAAATCTCTGACCTAAGTTCTTCACATTTCATCCATTTACAAAGATCCATGCTTGATCAGCTTATAAAGAGTTCAAGGCAACTGCAGTTCTCCTTGAAAATGTCTTTTTGACTGCAGCTATATGCATCTTGTAATGCTATATGACTGACCCAAGTGATCATCACGTGACAGGGCTAAACAAAGCAATCAAATCCTTGGTGAACTATCTCATTACAAATAGCTCTAAAAAATTCAAATTATTTGACTTGTCCAATAAGTTCACATGTAGATCTTAATAGCGCATTTTGCAAGAAACAGAGTCCAAAACAAAATTGTTTTTTACTTCGAAAATATAGTTTAAAACAAGAGGCTAGAAATCTCCTGACAATTCCATGACTTTGCAAGATTTCCTAAACAACTGTTTCTTCTTAGCATTATTTTTTGAGGTTGATCATGCAACGTTGTTTTTTTCTAAGGCTGAGCACATGTGATGTTCAAGTGACAAAGCTGATCAGTGTGTGACTTTCTGTTGTTTTCACAAAAGCATGCAAAGTTTTCAATACGACTTTCCAGAGAGTTACTACTGTATTCCTCACAAAAAAAGTTTGTCGCTTTGAAAATATGGCTAAAACAAAAGGTGATGATTCAAGCCAAAATATCAACTCTAGCTACATGTATACCTGGCTTGACAAATCATGCAGTTTCTGGTTTCTCAAACATGAAGATTAACTGAAGAAAAGGTTACAAGATATTACCTAGGAGAACAGAATCACGAAACTACCAGGTGAACTACAAGCAATATCTTCAAATACTACATAAGAACAAAATTTATGCTGATATCGTTAAATTTTTCTACAGCTTAGTACAACATTCTGTTTATAACAGGTGCACGCCTTGTGAAGTCCAAAAGGGTTTGTCAAGAGCTCGCTCCGCAATCAGCATAGTTGGGCTAAATACAGTGTAACATGAACTTACTTAACGGAGTTAATAAAAACTGATTTGATCTGATTTGAATCGAAATGAATTGCGCCGAGGAGACAAACCAAAACAATACGAAGGCGACAAAGCGGTGTCAATAAACATTATCATACTTAAAGTGCATGACCAAGAAAGGAAAATAATTTTGTTAATCGAGCAAGCAGATTGAATGGGCAGAAATATACTGGGACATCTAAAACACTGAATAACGAAATAATAAAGATTTGCTGCTAAGAAAATAAGACGAAAATCGCAGTTGCATGGTTTTTCGCGCGAACTTTTCGTAAAGTTCCGTAAGATTTTGGCGGGTGATAGTGATAATGAATGCGACGTATAAACTTGTACTTCTGGAAGAAATATTATCTCACTCACACTTTCTACGCTGAAAAAGTACTCACCAGTTCCCATCGTCGCTTCCACGGACATCTTCCATCAGTTGTTTTAATTGTTTCTCGTTGATCAAAGGGCCGATCGTGGGTTCCACTTGATCCGCCATTTTGTTTAAATCCGGGTTCGTCAAGATCTTCCGGAAAGCTTCTCCGGTAAATGTATACCCAGGTCTAAGTAGAAACGACGATGAAGCAAATAAATCAACCAAAAGACGATTTTTGTTTAACTGCAAGTTTTGTTAAGTTCTCGCGATATGAGGCATAATATGAAAATCGAATTCCTGTGGAGTTCGATCGACTTTGACATGTAAACTTAGTCACATGTAAACACGCGAACTATACAAAGTGAAAACCGAAAGGTCGATGTACGTACATTCCAAAAACGGCAATCTTTAAAGCTGTACAAAACCTGGTAGACACCGGACGTGCCGTGGAGGAGCAAAGCAAAAGATTAGTTCACATAATCGCTTCGGATTTCCTGTTTGAGGTCGTTTGGCAAACACCCCTGAAGATAAGTCAACCGGTGCTAATATTGGCATGAATAGCAGCGCATCACAGATACTTCTTGAGAAAGCAAAACCAAATAGCGTTCAAAATCAACAAAACTGCAGCTTGGAAACTGATTACGACAGCATTGCAATTTAAGCAAAATATTACAAAGCAGCGACGCTCATTGTTAGCTATCTTTGTTTTATGACCCCTTGCAACTCGGTCGTGTGACACAGCCTCATTCAATATGCAATGAAAACAACAACCTTTCCCCGTCATTTTCAAGCGCATTAAATCGAATTCACACTGGCTTCCTAACTCATTCTAATTTCCCGCAAAGTTTAAAAGTATTCATAGATGTTTGACTCATATTCGAACGAAGAAACCTTGGAAAAATCTCAAATTTGACACCCTCTCAAAGATCGAACGCCAATGGCTCCGTCATGGCTTCAATGTTGACCTACGCTCAAGGCTCGACAACGCGACAAAACACTCCAAAATAACGGCAAAAAAAGATCTCGAACACAGCAAACAACTTAGTGGATAAAGATTCGATAGCATTCGCAGCTGTTACGCACAAAACATCACATATCATACCTTTAGAAGCTCCTCTGTCTACAAACACAAGCCACCATACACCATAAAACACGCGGTACTTGACGTTGATTTTGATGACATAGCAGGAAATGCGAGCGAGTAATTCTGACCAATCAGATAGCACGAATTAAATAGTCATCGTTAGTGTAACCAATCAGCGTTTCAGATTTTTCATTCACGGAGTAAATGAATATCAACCAATCAAAACAGGAAAGAGATTCGGGGATTCCCCGTTTTATTTAAAATTTCCCTCCCTAGTAAAAGCCGAAAAGCCCTTAAACTTTACGAGACCTAAGCTTGGAATCACATAAATAAGATGTACAAACAAAACAGTCCACCTGTCCTTGGGTCCGCATGTAACCATCACATTACTGTCACGCGAGACAGCCGTGGAAGGAGGGTCGGCTGGCGGGGAGGTGGAGGGATTCTGGGGCAAAAACATTACGTCAATTATTTTTGGAACCAGTGTTAGGAAAATATTATTTCTATTCAAATTTGTGTTAATGCCAGGAGCTGGAGACCAACTTCTTTCCCTTTCAAAAAAAATATATGTATGTATAAAATGTTTGGTCTTTTAAAAAAGTAATTGTGGCATGGCTGGTAATTATTATTCGTGTCACGCCCGCGACACGCGAATTTTGACCCCGGTCAGGAAAAAAATGCGTACGTGCTTTTGTACTTGTCACGAGATTGTAAATTAAACTATGGGAGGTTTCTATATCGTTTTTAGCCCTTTGCCGGAAGACCTACTAAAAAAGCTGATGCAATATACTAAAGCTGTTGAGTTTTTGACTTGTCTCCTATTGTTCTTGATTCCAATGTAATTGGAACGCTTGATCATTGATCATGCATGTGAGGGATTGGCTTTTCGATACAAATGAACTTTTGTAAACAATAACGACTGAAGAGGAAATATCTAAACGCTTGATTAGAACAACGGCACGCGACACTCTAATTTTAGAAAATTGTACGCCTTTGTCAAAGGGAACACGACGTAAACAGCGACCGAGATTAAATTTTTCGCAAACAAGTAAACTGTTCTTCTCTTAGCAAAATAAACAGTCGTTTTCAGAGGCCAAATCTTCTAAAAAAAGATAGAAAAATCACAGATTGTTATTACTCAACCAGATCTGTACATCCTTTAGTTTAGAATGTTTGTTTATGCGTCTACCATTCTAAATTAGAATTCCAAATGGCCTATAGAGTTTTGAAACGCCAATACAACTTTGATGGCCTCAATCTCATATCACCATAGTGTCAATTTTAGACAGGAAAGATATATTTAGAAAAAAAAAATGCATTTTATGATATTAGTAAGTTTGAGCAATTTAGTTACGAAACTAATTGTGATCACAACCTTTTTAAATAATAAATCGAAAGTAGCATTTTGCTTCTATATCAAGTTTCACCCGATTTTCTCGATCATTGCACTATCTCAAATCTGCATATAGTTTAAAGGTATTTTTTGTGATTGTTTGATGTCAATATTACTTTATCATTGACTGCTCCGGTTGAAATGACTTATTTTTGTCACTTCTGCATTCTTGTTCAATATTGAAGTATTTAAACAATCGATTATGAAAGCAAGCAATCAGATATATTGCACATGAATGCTGAGGCTTTGTTTTTCCAATATCTACTCGCCGCTCGAGAAAAGGCATGCAGACTTTAAAAAGAAAGACACGCCTTTTTCACGTGAATTTTTGCTGAACAAAGAAACTCATTAATTTGGGTGTGAGTACAAGACCTTTTCAAAATAGATCTTACTTTCGGCATGGTAAATTGTGCAAAGAATTCCATGGGAATTAGACCTGTTATGTACTTCGAACTTTTAACATAATAACATGACTGCGGTATGATAATTTTTACAGATTACATTGATGTTTTTACTTCTTTATTTAACAAACAAAGGATTGCACCGAGAAGTTTTTCTTCGTGTTTGAGATGTTTTAGTATAAAACTTACGACTTGAAAGTTAACGATTGACCGCAAATCCGGTTTTATTCTAAACAAATTAGTTCCATTGTGAAAGAAAAAGACTTTGGTAGGGCGCAGAATATTTGACACATGTGAGGAAAATATTTGTGGTTAGAAACAAAAGAAGTCTGTGAATGTCCAGGTTTCTATATGTGGATAAATGATTCAGAAGACCACGAAAAAGAAAAAGCCGAGAAATTTTACCGAAACATTGAAAAAAAATAAAGATTATGTAATAATTGTTCGTCCTCACAATGTTGTCATTTGAGGTGCAGATTGCGACATTTCGACTCTCTGTTTTTAACAGGAGACGGGCTCAACTGATTGTCATATTTGTACCACGACTGTCTGCTGTGATTGGTAGATTTCAATTCAATCCTCACAATTTTCTCAGGCGCGCTTCAGTTGTCACCGTCTTTCTCCAGTTGTTCAATGTAATTTTTGACTGTGAGCTTTATACTTTAGGAGATGCAATTTCATTATCCCGGTGGATGTGTTTCCAGAACGAATCTCAAACAAGAAATTTTACTTCGTGCCAAAGTATATAGGAGGTCGATCTCGTGGGCGTGCTGTGAAACGCTGGAGGTCAGAGGGTCCCCGATCGAATTAAGGGAACCACCCCAAACTTGGGTTATGAGCGAATTAGGGAAAGTTCTCAAACCGTAACTAATCGATTTTGACTGCGATGTGCGGCAGTATCTTTCTCGAATATCGAAGCAGTTAGGTCGAAAATAAACTCTTTGGTGGAACAAGGTAGCGCTAAAAATTTCTTTAATTTCGAGTTCACTATTTTGAGACTGGAAAATATTCTTCGCCAGATTCCTAGCATACTGGTGGAATATATCGAACAAGCGTCCGCAATACTTCAAATTAAGATCCGTTACCAAAAATAAATAACATCATGCGGGCTAAATAAACAACGGGTTATTGAAATGCCAGGCATGACGTTTTGAGTTTTCACCCCTTGTTTGCAATTTGCATGTTTGTTTGTCCGTTGAACTTAAAGGGCAAAAAGTGGACCGACTTCTCTCTAACTTACCTGCTGATTTCTCTCAATAAACTTTTATCCGTATTCGTTTGCAGTTTAGTTAGTACAGAAATGCAATCAACTGTCTCTCTCTTGCAGTAAGCGTTATAAAAGTGTTACAGTGTGTAAAGATCGAGCGATCTTAATCTCTGCTATTTTTAATAACCCTGAAAGTTAATATAAGGCTGAATATTTCACGTGACACATATAGCGTTAAATTTGCGAACTACACGTGCAGAAAACATTTTTTAACAAACAACGTGCCCTCATTGCCACGCGTTCATTCTAAATCTTGTGATATTTCGTGACATTTGTGGTGTTAAATTTGCCGAACTACACGTGGAGCGATATTTTTTTAAAAAACAAGGTGCCCGCTTTGCCACGCGTTCGCTCTGAATCTTGTGATATTCACAAGTTTTAGGTCTCCTGTTATTTGTTTTTAAGAGCAAAAGCTAAAAAGAAACTCGGAAAAGCAAATTCTCTCGACAGAAAACTGAATTTGCTTGCAATGTATTTTTAGTGACCAGAAGTGAAGTAATTTCCCAAAATTGACGCAAAATTGAGTCCGGCTTACATTTTAAGCGTCGAGGTTCGAGTTCCCGAGACAACAATATAAGTTTGTCTCCGGTAAAAAGGTAGACACACGAGGTTAAAGACATTGTTTAAAGGGATATCACTTTAAAACATACTGGCTGACCAACTATGAAGTCAATAAAGGGCCCCTCTACGTCGCGTTTTTACTTTTTACTATTCAAGCCCAATTCATATCACATACCATTACTTAGTCTCGCTTAGCGGAGATGTTTAGCAATTCTGGTATGGTTTTGACTTTCTCCGAGTAAACTTACACAAATTAAAGTCATGATTTACCACAAGAAAAAATCAGAGATTTCTTCAAGCACATGCAGCAGGCTTCAAAGCCATGGAAAAAAAATCAAAAAGTTCCATTCTCGACGCAGAAACACGCAAATATTGGCCTAAAAGAGTTCCAAAGCAAGGCTAAAACAACGCTAATTTACGCATTAACGAATTGAGGACATAGTTATTGAACGTACTAAGAAATAAACGACATACTTACATTTCAAGGATCCAGTAAAAGATTTAGAACGCTGCGGAAACTTCACAGTTGCTCGAGAAATTAAAACATTGAAGAATGCACGGCTTTATTAATGAGAACTCAGTCGATCACGTGTGATTTAATTTTCCGATTCACTGATCATAACCTTCATTGTAAACATTTTCCGTTTTAATCACAAATCGATTCGCAAGGTCCTTTTAGTTCGATTAGACGGATTGGGTCGCTTTAGTTAATCAGTCTTGATGGTTGAATCGAATGGAACAGCAGAGACTTTCATTCACCGCTGTAAAATTATCCTCTTTACTTCTGCCCTTTTTCCACGACTTAGAAGCAAAATTTACCACGCAAATATGCAAGCATTCCGACGAAAAACGCTTCTTTTTTCGACCGTTACATCATCATACTCACTTCGATGCGTTGATATGCAAAGTCTATTTAAAGAACAATAAACCCTTTCACTTTCCAATCTTTTGTTCAGGAAATACAAACAAGGTGCTTGGAGATCAAAAGGAAAATCTGGAGGCATTCCAACAGTCAATAATTGTTGTCAGACGTCAGATTCTATTGTCGTGTATAAAACCAGGGTCTTAAATTTTTGCTGATTTTTTCAAAACATATGTGTTGTTTCGGATGAGGCATTTTGTTTGCCAATATTGTGTTTTGATATGACAAGCGCATGGTAGATGGCACGGCTCTAACTGAAATCTCGTTTCTTTGCCAGTAAACGTTATATTTCTGTTGGCTTTTTCGTGATCTACTGTTTTTCACTTTGGCTCTTAGTCAATCGGAAAAAAAATTCGGTAATTAACCAGAGACTAGAGGATGGAAATATTGTCAAGATCCACTGCCAAAAATACTCATAACCAACATTAGAGAAATGTGTAATTAGAAGAATTCTCAAATTATAAGACAATCGTATTCGAACGAATAGTTAGAACCATTCGCGCCAAATCTCGCTTCGAATACCATTGAGGTTAGTTCGTGTTGATTGCCATTCTTGAACACATAGGCAAATTTCGATTTTATTTTAACTGAAACTCAGAGGATTAGAAAAATAAAACAAACAAACGGCCAGCTTATTAAAGTTGTTTTGTTGTAGCGTTAAGTCTCACAACTGGAAAACATTTCTTTTCTATTTGATTGAAAGTCCTAGTGTCAGATAACGTGTGGACAGTTCATTGTAAAGTATATTCTATAAAAACGTCTTGCTGCGAAATCACACAGTGTTAATCCAGAGATCCGAAATGTTCTCGCTTCAAGGATTAACGAGACTAATGGACTAAAAGATAAGCTGTTGATTTTTGGAGTGCCGACTTTTCCGAAAACAGCGCATAACTAAATATGACAACAGCGAGAAGTACCGTACCATATCTAAACTGCTGAAATAATTGCTCCCATTTTGTCTCTCACAAAGCGTATAGGCAGAAACATTACTCTAGCCCTGAAATTGCCAGTTAAGTTTATCAGAGATAAATGATCTGTTCTCAAGATTATATCCTAATGAAAATGCTGTTAAGAGGGTGGTAAAAGAAAATATTCTTATGTTGTTGGCGCGTGCCACGGGGCGTACCTGCTGTTATATTGCGCGCTACAGAAACAAAGGCCCCGCGATGTGAGAAATGGAGTCTTGAAAGGATTAAAACACCTCTGGGATTTTGGAATAATATCAATGCACTGGCAAAGAACAAATTAAGGAGCAAGAATCATCAAAAAGCAAGATGACATCAAAGATTTTGTTATTTATTTTGGCACTTAGTAGAACATTGTTAGATAATGGTTTAGTAAGATTGGTTAAAAACAGCTGGTAAGTTAGCACCAAATAGATTATTGTAGAATGGAAAACGCAAAAGATTTTTGATGAAATTTCGGTAAATACATCAAGGACTAGTATATGTACTTTTGTGTAGATTAAAATGTGTTTTACAAAGTTTCCTTCTACACCGATGCAATACAAGTGTTGCAATAAATGTACCTTGGGCCCCCTAAAGGACCTGAAGAACTCGATATTGCGTGTCTTTTATGCATTACGCAAGAACAAAATACGGCACTTGAGAGCTGTTCGCTAAAAACTGATAAGAATTTGGTCTCCATCACTTAAGTTATTTTTGGAAGGACTTTAAAAAGTTAGCCAATTAAAGTTTTAAGCATAAGTTACTCTACTACAAGTCCCTG